CTCCCCCCCCGCCCCCCCCATAGTTCAAGTGCTTAGTACAGGGCCTGACGCATAATACTTAATTCATTTACAATAGGAGTAAAGGGATTTCTTAAAGGGTCGGGGAAGAAACCAAGTGGGAGACGAGATGCGACAGGACAGTAACATAGCTTCTCTCCCCCTTTTGAAACATGACTAGCCTGGGAAACAAATTTTGCAATTACTGAAATCACTTGTTGATCAATGGCAGGTACAGGAATGGAACTCACAGGAAGTTATATTACAGTAAAATACAATAGAACAGGGAATAGCTTCTGGATATCAGCTTATTATTCACAGGATCCTGCTGAGACTATAAACCTTGGACACACCATCCCAAAATAGAGGCGCTTCCTGGACTCTTAAAATCTTGCGATTCAACAAGGCTCATCCTACTTGTCTGCTCACCTGCCCATAATTTGGAGAAGTTATTAGACTTCTGTTGCTCATGGGGACTCCAGCTGCCCAAGCACCAATCAGAAGAAGGGCTCTGTGTCTCCCTCTCTCTCCACCTTTTTACCAGAGAGCCCTCAGAGCCCAAGGGGGCTCCCTCTCCCCTTCTAGGCTCTTGTCAGCTGGCAAGAAAGATTTCAGAGTGAGACAGCAGTGTCGAAGCAAAGCGAGCAAATTTATTAAGAATGCTCTTAACACAAAGCACAAGCAGAAAACTCATCTAATCTGAGCACCCTGCCCATTGGGGTTGTAAGGGTTATACACCTTTTTGTTTCAAGTTTCAAGGTACCCCTCCCCTGGTATCAGGATTAGTATACAGGGTTTCAAGCTCCCCTTTGTCATTGCCATGTAACTGTTGATAATCTTGTCGTGGCAGGTCTCAGGACTGCTTGGGTGTGATCATAAGGCCCATCTCCTGCCTTAGTATCTATCCAGCCTAACAACCTCATTTCTCCTTCTTTCCTTTTTAATCCGAGGTGGGCAAGAATAGGAAGGAAAACATTCTATTTTCAAAGAATGTTTTTGCTTATGTCCTTGGACCCTAAATGGTCTTGGGACAAACATCATCTTACGAATGTAAAATCTTGGTTTGAATTTTGGAAATAACCCTATTTGCCCCTTAAATTTTGATATTTATTTTAATTCGATTATGTTTGGTATAAAATTGGTGTATCTGTGTGTGTGTGTATCCATGGGAAAGATGATGGTTTGCTCCAGGCATAATGCTTCTCTTATTCATAACTCAACTTAAAAAGAAATCTCATGCTCTTCGAGCTGTCCCATCTAACAGCTCCATCATTTCTGGATGTTTCTGTTGACTTAGAATTCTCAGAAATAGGTTCTTGTTCCCACCCAGATAAATGCTGGTCTTTCATATTTCTAGGATAGAAAACATGAATTTCACCAAATGTCTTTAGATTTGCACATGCTGGATACACAGGCCACCCATGTAAATCTACAAGGAAGGGACACATGGTCTTTTGGGGGACTCTTTATTACATAAATATATTTGCACCAAGATATACACACAGGCACAGGAATGCCCCTCTATGTATCCAGGTGTAGCAGAGAGTAGCCTAAGAAGACGTAGGTCACGGGTTGAAACTGAATCTCATAGCACCTCTTTGTAGTCATCAAGTCCTTTGTTCTCTGCATTAGCAAAGGTCAGGAAGACTTGTTCCAGTGTTATCTGACTGACAGAATAATCTTCTAAATCGAATTGTTCTTTAGCTTCCTCCAAAATACCAAACACCTTCAACAACAGGAAAGTACAGTCACTATTGCAGTCTTCCCCTCCAGCCCAACCGAGAGGAGCCTCTCCTCCGCTCCCAGCTGCTGCAGAGTTAAAGCCGGAGGGGGAAAGGCACAGAGGGGAGATGAGGGAAAAGGTGGAACAGATCGTAGAGAAACCGACAGGGGAATCTTTGTTCCCATTCTCTTGATGGGCGTGGGTGAATAATGGGATTTAGGGAGCAGAAATTGAAGCAGTTTAAATGTAGAGTGTCGAAAAGTAACCTAAAGTCTCTGCTCCTACATCAGGCTCTCATTACACATGCCCGAATAGCAAATATTTCCCCATCATTAGTGCTCTCTTAACCTGTGATGTTAGAATGGCATGGTTTCTGTAGTCACCTTTGCCCAGCTGTTGTCCTTGCTGGGAATGTAGTAGCTAAGGATCCCGTGGTTCTCCTGCTTTAATTCGCTACCTAAAAAAAGTCAATATATTATACATAGGATAGATGTTAATTTTAAATTGTCAAAATACTGCTACATCTACTTAATTATATGTAACTATGAATAGACACCATTATGACAAAAGGGGACATGATCAAATAACCCATTCTCTTTGGTTTATATGACATGGTTAATTCCTCTCAGCTGATTTATTCCTGACGAAATAACCTTAGGATGTGAAGTTCATAGTAATTGAGGGCTGGCTTGCGGGCACACACCAACTGAAAATGTCGGCTCACATGCCCAGTGAACGAAGCCAAGCCTTCAGAAATTCTAATGTTACTACAGGACTTTATTCCTGAATATGGTGCTGAGAGTATGAGCTGGGAAGATGTTCAGTCTGCTTGTGTGAGGAGGTAGAGTGTGATTGTGCAGTGTGCTTGCTGGGGAGGAGAGCAGGACAAGGCCTCCTTGCTATGATGACACACCATGTGAAAGAGGCAATCATACCTAAACACCCCCCAAGTCAAGCTGTGTTATTTCTTTTATAGGTAAGAAACCATGTCTAATTGAGAACAAACTGAGGTGTTTACACTTAATGCATGTTTGCAGATTACTGCAAATTGGATTAATGAATTAAAATGTGATAAGTAAAAAAACACATGTTTAAAATGATGTATGGATTTTCTTAACATGAATTTTAATGCATATATTGTCTCCATGGTCATATAAAGCTCTTTTTTTGCAAGTGAAATATTTCAAACAGAGAGATTAATGAGTTATTCAAAGTAAACACTGATGAAACCACCCCATTTAGGTCAAGTAATAGTAACTCAGACAGTCCCATGTGCCACTTCCCAGCCTCTGTCTCCCATAAAAAATCACCAATGTCTTCATTATTATTGACATTTCATTTTTAATCTTTCTATCTATGCACTTACCCCTAAAAATTTAGGCAGTTTTCCTACTTTTGAACCTTATGTGAATGGAATCATGGATATATCACTTTCTTTCTGCTTCTTTCATTTACTGTTTGTAAGATTCATTTATGTGGTTGCATCTAGCTATACTTAATTTATTTTATTTTCTAAACTATAATCTGGCATCTAAAGATTCCACAATTTATTTTCTACTTCGCTACTGAAACTGTGAGAGTTTCAATCTCCATTTCACCGAGGTCTTTTTCTGGGGTTCCCTTGTCCGCTTTTGTTTNGCTACTGAAACTGTGAGAGTTTTAATCTCCATTTCACCGAGGTCTTTTTCTGGGGTTCCCTTGTCCACTTTTGTTCGGAACATCCTTGTTGTCCCCTCATTTTGCTTGACTCTCTGTGTTTGTTTCTATGTATTAGGCAAAATAGGGACATCTTTCGTTCGAGGAGTGGCCTTGTGTAGGAGATAAACCTTGTCATTCAACCTTGCCCTAGCTCTTGATTGTCTCCAAACCTTTGTGATTATCTAAGTAGCTTGATGTATTCTTGAGAGGCCTCAGTTGTTGAGAGTGAGCCAACTCCTGTCCAGGTTCCAAAGGGAGTGACCCCAGCCAGCACCTCGTTCCAGGCTGCTTGGAAGCCAGATCCTCAGGCGGCAGCAAATCCAGTCCCGTGGGGCTGCGATGGCCAACACTGCTGACCTCCAGGCCAGGGCATCTGGAAGTGACTTCTGGGTGACAACTGCAAAATGTCGGGGCTTCAGATGAGTGTGTAAGTTCCTTTCTGGGAGAAACCAGTGAGCTGTGGTGAGGCCAAGGGAGGGTGCAAAGATGGTGTCTCCCTGCTCATTCCCTAAGCACCTCTATAGCCTCCTGATACGTGGCAAACCTGAAGCCTGTCCTCAGGTTGGAGCCTCCAGGGTAACTAAAGAAATCTTTTTTCATAGGCAGACCGAGGGTGGGGAGGGGGCAGTGTCAGTCTGCTGTCTGCGCAGTGCCGTGGATCTGGTCACCTGCCCAACACTCGCTTTCTGATTGTCACAGTGCTAGGGGCCCAGGACCACAAGCTCCTCTGGTCATCAGGCAGCATGGTCAAGGCACGTCTTCGGTGTGGGCTGAACTGACAGCCTCAGTGAAGCTGCGGGAGAGTGGTCAGGGAGAGCACAAAAATGACACCTTGCAGCACCTCCACTACCTGAGAAAATCCCAACTGGTCCCCCACCCTCCAGTAGATGCTTTAAGATCAGCAAATAAATTTTCACACATAATCCAGGTACCACTCAAACTGCTGCTGCCTCTGTACCGGGTACTGGGACATGTTATGTCCTCAAAAGGAGTATCTGAGATCCCACAGACCCCAGCTCCCCAACGCCTAGGCCTAAGCCTTAGTGGTTTCCAAAGTAAAATGTTTTGGAGGCCCTCATCTCTTCCATGCAGGTCCCAGGGTTGGGGCACTTGATGTGGGGCTCAAACCTCTGCTTCTCAGGGAGAGCTCTGATGCACTGAGATCCCTTCCTGTCGTGGAATTGCCACAGAGGGGTGGGGTTTTGGGTGAGACTGTGTCTCTGCCTCTCCTACCCATCTCCATGTGGCCCTTTTATCCCCTGTTGTGGAAAAAGCTTCTCAGTTAGTTTTCAGTCTGTTTCAGCAGAAATTGTTCCATATGTAGCTATAGATTTGGTAGGAATCTCCTATCTTGGACCCCAGAAAAACTTCCTTAGCTTTAGGATTTTGTACTGTAGGGTTCCTTCTTCAGAGTGTTGTGGGGTGTATTAAATAATATGGCTTCTCAGTGTAGACCTTTCTCTGGTACTTTCTGCTATCTGCCTCCTGTGTTTCTCCCTACTCCAAACCTGAATGAGGGATGCTTTCCTCCAGAGAACTGTGTGCTCCTGCTTGGAATTAGAGGATGCCACTGACCACCCATTAGAGGGCCCTCTTCACATGGCAGTCTCAGCACGAGCTCCCCAACCTGGAGGGTCCAGAGCTTCATCACTGATACCAGTGCTGACAATGGTATTCGCTTCTAGGATTTGCATTTTCTTACAGCTCACTGTTTCCTTTCCCTTTACTTTTTTTTATTCTTTTTTTCCTGTTTTCTTTTTTGGTTGTTAGAAAGATTTGTCTGACCCGACCGGCATGGCTCAGCAGTTGAGCATCGACCTGGGATCCAGGAGATCACGGCTCGATTCCTGGTTGGGGCACATGCCCGGGTTGCGGGCTCGATCCCCAGCAGGGGGCGTGCAGGAGGCAGCCGATCAATGACTCTCATCATTGATGTTTCTCTCTCTCTCCCTCTCCCTTCCCCTCTCTGAAATCAATAAAGATATATTTAAAAAAGAAAAAAAGTGTTGTCTGACTTTTGTTTCTGAGATAATTCTCACATTAAGATGTAGTTGTTTAATTTCTACCAAGTTCTTGTTTTATTTCACCAGGATGGCCTTTCAGAGTATACAGTCTTCCATAAGGCAGAAACAAAGTCATCTTACTTGTGCATTTAAAAAAAGAAATGGTTACTTAATTTTTCTTGAGATTATGTAGAATCATTTGCCCTAAATATTCTCATTACTTTGGTAAGTCCTTTTTAAAATATATATTCTAGATGACTTTTGTTTGTAATATTTATTTATTCCCTTAAAAATCAATATTTAGGTATAGGCTCCATATTAGTTCCTTTTTGATTCTGTCATATATAAATGGCTGCTTGTTTAAGAATATTGTGAGGAAGAACTTGGCAACAAGCACCTTCAAGTTGAGACTGTGCCTCTAACCCACATTTCCATTAAAGGACACATTCTGTGTCACATTGTCAAGGTTAGGCCTTGGGTTAGAATTTAGTGTTTCCTTCAGGAGAAGAGCAAGTTGCTAGGACAACTCACAGTAAAAGAGGTTTTCTGGTCACAGCTTCTTTTTGCAGTGATTTGGGGGCCCCATGAAACAGAACTCTGATACAGTAAGTATTCAAAAATATTTGCTGAATGAGTACCTAAGCGAATGGACTTAACGGACATATCCCCTTGCACGTGTCACAGGCACATCACATTGCCTATGCCCTGCAGTGAGGAATTGTTTTCCCATGCAGCTGTTCTCCACATCTGCTCTGCCATCCATTTCTTACCGGTTTTCTGGTCTCCATGCTTACTGTGTAATTCATCATACTATTTTCCCTCACCTACAGATAAACGTCTAGCTCCTCAGGCTGACACATAATGGGAACTGCTATGGTATTTTGCTCAACCCAGCAAATTGGAAACTAAGGTAAAAAGTCAGAATTATTGAAAGCCTTGCTATGCCCCTGCTTTATGTGTAGGGAAGAACAGTAAAGGACAGAAAGAGTCCCCATCTCTGGTATTGTACCGTGCAGGCAGAGCGAGGCTTACTGGTTTTAGGTGACAGAAGCAGATCTGTTCTCGAGAGGAGGGAAAAGCTTAGCGGTTCTCCTTCTGTGTCACGTGTCCTGGCTGAGACCGAACGGCCAGAGTTATGCTCAGCGGAGGACCAAAGCCGCCAAGCTTGGCATGGATGTTGTGCAAAAATAATTGGGAATTATGTTGGAAATTATGACTAGAGATAGAATTGACATGGACAGAAGAGATCCAAATCTTATTAAAGCGATGCGGGAGCTTAGCGTGAACCTAATTTTTGTGTGTGTGTGCAAAATTTCTCAGCATAACCAGATACCAGAAGTTGTCGAAACAAGGGTCCCAAAAGGAACTCAGTGTGGAAGTTGGTAAATATTGATAATCCACAGAAAAGTTACTGAATATGCACAGTGAGAATAATAAATATGACTTACACGTCTTGAGCAGAGTCAGCCCAATCTACTTTACCTGGGAACGTTATTGTGAAGAAGTTTTTTAAGTCGTTTAATTTGTGCTCCTGCGTATCAGCCTTGGCCTTGATCTTCACGATGTAACTGCTGCCGTACTTGTTCTTGAGGTGCTGAGGGCTGCCCAGGCACACGAACTTTCCCTGCACCATGATGGCCAGCCTCGTGCAATAGGCGTCACATTCCTCCATTCTAGCAAAGCAAGATGCAAACAATGCAACACTGAAAAGCTCTCTGTTGGAGGACCTTCTATACTGCAGGGTTTTGTGATTCTATTTTCAAAGGGAAGTGGAACTTGCCAATCCTAAAGCCCACAGCTGAGAAGTGGAAATTTTTCAAACGATGCAGAAAGTAGGAACCCTCACGGGGAACACCTGCACCCCTTGTCCACTCACCGCTCTTGGCTACTTAACCTAATGGGTTCTTGGCTGCTCCACCGATTAGGGTTACGGAGGAACTCACATTCTCAGGCAAGTTTGCTGTCCAGTGTTTCTAGCCCCAAAGAACTCTCTCGTGCAACCACTGCAACGCCTGCTTCCTCCCTTCCCAGCCTGCCAACGCCGCACCTGTGGGAGGTTATAACGATGGCCTTCCCGCTGTCCCGCTCCTGCATCACAGCATCCCAGAGCAGGCGCCGGGCCACCGGGTCCATGCCCGTTGTGGGCTCGTCCAGCAAAATGACGGCGGGGTTTCCCATCAGGGCGATAGCAGTACTCAGCCTGCGTTTGTTTCCTCCGCTTCATGGTCATAGAAGGAAAGGGAATGCGGGAAGGGGGGGGG